GCAGGCTCCACACAGGGACAATGGTGGCTGTCCCTCCAGCCCTCACCCCGCAGCCACACAACTCAGTTTCTCACCTCTCTGAGTTGCTGCCCCTCCACTGGAGCCCAGGAGAGGCAGGTGAGGAGCTCAGGTGACTCAGCTGGAGAAATCAGTGTCAGTTGCAGCTGGGGAGACTGCTACTCTGCCCTGCACTTTGACCTACATGCTCCCTATGGGGCCCAAACAGTGGTTTGGGCCAGGAGTTAATCTATAGTTTCAAAGGAAGTGAGGGAACCTGGTTTCCCCTAGTAACAAATGTTGCAGACACCACAAAGAGAAACCAACACAGACCTTTCCATCCACATCAGTTACATCACCCCAACAGATACCATGTGAACTTCTGGAGAAAAGACCCTGACAATGTAGAGTTTAAGTCTGGACCAGGCACTCAGCTCTTTGTGAGTGTCAAACCCTCTCCCCTTGTGGTATTGGGCCCCGCGGTGAGGGCCACGCCTGGGCAGTGAGCTTCACCTGTGAGTCCCATGGCTTCTCCCCCAGAAACGTCATCCTGAAATGGTTCAAAGATTAAAATGAGCTTCCAGCCTCCCAGGCCACTGTGGACCCAGAAGGAGATGGTGCTTCCTATTGCATCTCCAGCACAGCCAGGGTGATGCTGGCCCCAAGGGATGTTTGCTCCAAGGTCATCTGTGAGGTGGACCATGTTACCCTGTGGGGTGGAGGAATGGGGCTGCTCTTCATGGGACTGCCAACTTGTCTGAGGCCACCTGAGTTCTGCCCACCTTGGAGGTTACCCAACACCTTGTGTCAGGGAGCCTGGTGAATGTTGTCACCTGCTAGGTGAAGAAGTTCTACCTTTGACACCTACATCTGACCTGCTTGGAAAATGGAAACATGTCCCGAAGAAAAACGATTTCAACCCTCGTAAAGAAAAAGGACAGAGCCTTTAACTGGATGAGCTGGCTCCTGGTGTTTTCATCTGCCCACAAGGAGGATGTGGTGCTCACCTGCCAGGTGGAGCATGATGAGCAGCCAGCAGTCACCAGAAACCTTACCCTGGAGGCCTCTGCCCACCAGAATGACCAGGGCCCAGGCCCAGGCCTGTCTACTCCACTCCTTCTATCTCTCCTCCTACGCCTCAAGGTCCTGATGGCATTTGGTATCTCTGCCATCTATGTCCACAGGAAGCAGAGGGACTGACTGAGATAATAGCAGGCTTTCTCACCTGGGACTACCAGACCCAGCTGGATTAGGCTGGTCCCAGAGACTCACACAGGTGCAGAAAGCAAACACATGAACTCCAACTAACCACAAAGGGAGGCCCGAACCAAAATTCTCCCCTAGCTGGAACTGGCCCTCGCGGACATTCAGAAGCAAAGGGTGTCCAGTAATGTGTACTTGGCCTGGCACCTAGATCTCATCCAATCAGACCCTGCCGACTTGGAATTCCTTTATACTTTCTCACCTTCTGCATCTCTTACCTTAGATGACTTAGTTCCAAGATTGTCCAATAAAGTCTCCTGAATTACAATGAATTAATATGTATAGTTTCTTCTTAAAAAAATAAATTCAATGGCTANAGATGACTTAGTTCCAAGATTGTCCAATAAAGTCTCCTGAATTACAATGAATTAATATGTATAGTTTCTTCTTAAAAAAATAAATTCAATGGCTAAACATTGCAGTCAGTTATTTGGCTTTAGGTGAAGTGTGAGTCAAGCCAACTCTGACCATTTATGTCAAAGAAACAGAAAAAGGGACAACATCAGTTCTTAAATTAACCCCAAGATTCTCGAAGGCATATTAGCCTCCTTTCAAATTCTGTATTCACATTTGATTACAGCTTAAATTAATTTATGGTTCAGAGTTGAGGCTTATATGCCTCCATGAGGGAAGTCCCTGGTGACTTCTGTGAAAAACTACAAGCTAAAAACATCCATGCAATATTATAATATTGTTTTAAAGTTGATTATGTTGACATGTGTAAGACTATTAGGATGGTTGATTATTTTTATTACATCATGAAAAGTATTTATATGAGTAAAAGAAATGATTAAGGAATAAAAACCCAATAGTTTGTACACACGGAAGTGTGTATAACAATGTTCACTGCAGCCTTATGATAGTGAAAAATTGGGAAAAAACCCAAATGTCTATATATATGTAATAAAAAATAAATTTTGGTATGGTCACAAATTGAATGCTACATAGTAGCTAAAATAAGTGAACTATTGGGTTGTCGGAAAAGTCATGATGCATTTTGCAACAAAAAATAGAAAAAATACATCATGACTTTTCCAACAACCCAATAAATCTATATGCATCATCATCAATAAATCTCAAAAACTTGATTTTTAATAAAAATGCAAGGCACAGGTGGGTATTTGGGGATGCAATTATTCAAAGTTTAAAAACTTATAAAGCAATAATATATGCTGTTTATAGACACACATGCATGTAGTAAACATACTAAAGCATGCATGACAATGATAAACGCTAAGATCAGGATGCTGCTACCTTTGGAGAGAAGGGGAATGAGACTCAGAAGAGACAGAGAGCTCCAACTCACTGCATCTGCAACATTTCCATTGGTTAAAAAATGAATTGGTATAAATAGAGCAAAATGTTAAGATTTGTGGTAAGTAAACTGGTGTTTGTTACATGATCTTTGTATTTGTCTGTATATTTGAACTATATACCTTATAGTACAAAATTAACTTCACAACAACAACAGCTAAAGCCAGTGTTCTCAACGGAAGTAAGTTAACAGCAGAGGGGTTGGAGGATAGCATGAGTTAATGGGTGGGTGCCTATATGGTGACCACAGCGGTGTAGGGGTTTCCAGTGCTGGTCCATACAACTCCCTCATGGTGAAGTTAGGTTTTTTTTTTTAAAGAAATTATTCTCCTTATTATTATTATTTTTTTAAAGATTTTTATTGGGGAATTGGGGGGATGGGAACAGTGCTGGGGAATTGGGGGAAGGGGAACAGACAAGTTGCTGTCCTTTTGTTCTTCAGTCTAGTTGTGGAGGATGTTGCTTCACTGGCCCAAGTTGGCACCATCATTGCGCTCTTCCCTGGCGAGGCAGATCAGTCGCCGGCTTCTGGATGGCCGCTCACTGCGGCTGCTGGCCGCTCACGCTGGCTGCTGGCTACACACGGTAGCCCATGGCAACCCACTGCCACAGGGGCTGCAGCCTACGCCGTCGCCGGCGACTCATGGC